ACAATATCTGCGATCAACACTTACCGGAAAGGCCGCGGCATGTATTAGATCATTGAATACCACCGACGCAAACTATCTCGACGCGATAGAAATATTAAAGGATAAATTTCATTGTCCCCGACGGACCCTCCTACGACATTGCGATGCTATTCGCGATATTCCCAAATTGACGAAGGATACTCCAGAAGGCTTGAGCGATTTATTAGACGCGTTAAACCAACACTTGCGGGCACTTCGGAATTTAGGCGAACCAATTGCAACGTGGAACTCCTTTTTAATATCTACGATTTTATCAAAACTTAATCCCGACACCGTTTGGCAATGGGAACTTACTTTATCGGACAAAAACATGCCTCCGTATACCCATTTATTGGAATTTCTGGAGAAACGAGCAAACTGTTCACCAGCAGCGATCATAAAAACCAACGCGACCTACGGAAGTCGCACCACCCCTTCAACTAATCATTCCTACTCAAGTACCAGAGGAATCTCGCGCACGCAGACATATCTTGCCACGAAAACTCCACAGTGTCCGATTTGCAATGGATCGCATCTAACTCGGGATTGCGAAACCTTTAATCTCGCTTCTCCCACCGCTCGGTTCGAAACGGTCGTCAAGACAGCTTTGTGCCAGAACTGTTTGCGACCCGGCCATTCCACGAACGTCTGCCGTTCGTTGTTTACATGCAGAATATGCAATCAACGACACCACACGCTCTTACATCGACAAGAACAAGTAGCACAGGAACGAATCGGTATCTCGCCATCCTCGACACACGAAACGCCGATTCCCACATTACTTCCGGAAGACACGACATCAACCAACGGGAAAACAAGGTCAATATGACCACTATCGAAGAAAACTCCCAGACCCATCCAAGCACGCACATACATAGTCAATACCGATACCAACGAATTATTAGTTACGGCACAAATCAATATCTTCGATGTCAATCATCAAAAAATATCATGCCGTGCCCTAATTGACACGTGCTCCACCACCAATTTCATGACGAACGATCTGGCCAAGAAACTCCGTTTGTCACAAGAACGATGCAACGTCTCTGTAGGCGCTCTCAATTCTCTTTCGACCATCGCCAACCATACCATTCGCGCGACCATACAATCTAGAGTCAGCAACTTCCAGCGAACCCTCACATTTTTGATCGTGCCAAACATCGCTTCAGTGGTACCAGATCAAACAGTCGATCGTACCATGCTCAAGATCCCTCGCAGTACCGAACTCGCAGACTCAAGGTTCCATCGACCAGCACCAGTTGACATTTTACTGGGAGCTGGAACCGCGCTATCTATATTATGTGTAGGACAAATTAACCTCTCACAACCAGACGGCCCAGACCTTATTCTCCAAAAGACAATGCTTGGATGGGTCATCGGAGGCAGTGTACCAACAGCACAACCAAATCGGCAGGCAACGTGCCACACCACAACAACACTGAAACTCGATTTGGCACGTTTTTGGGAAATGGAAGAAGGTCCACAATCGCAGCATTTGTCAGAATCAGAAGCGACATGCGAACAACATTTTCAAAATACCACCACACGAAATACAGAAGGTAGATATGTTGTCGCACTTCCATTCAACAAAAACAAGCCTAAGCTGGGAGAATCCGACACGCAAGCGCTGAAACGGCTCATATCTTTAGAGCAAAAATTCAAACGCGATTCAGAATTGGAACATCAATACCGAGCAGTCATCCAGGAATACCTCGATCTTGGACACATGTCCGAGGTGCATGCATCACGTCCAGGATATTATCTTCCACATCATGGGGTCATTAAGATGTCGAGCAACACGACGAAACTGCGCGTAGTCTTCGACGGGTCGGCAGTCACAAGTACCGGAATCTCGCTCAATGACACACTACACACTGGACCCAAGATACAAGATGATTTATTATGCATTTTGCTCCGATTCCGCATCCACCAATATGTCATTACCGGCGACATCGAGAAAATGTATAGACAATTTCTCGTGCGCCCAGAGGACAGACAATACCAAAGAATTCTCTGGCGTGACAACAAGAATTGTGTCAAAACATATGAATTAAATACGGTAACATTCGGTTTATCAGCCGCCCCATATCTAGCTATCAGATGCCTTAAACAATTAGCGCAAGACGAGGGTCATCAATTTCCTTTCGCTGCGAAGATTTTACAGCGGGATTTTTACGTGGACGATGCACTCACCGGCGCATCCACTATACAAGAAGCCCTCACACTACGAAACGAATTGACGCAACTTCTTCATTCAGCTGGATTGAATATTAGACAGTGGGCATCCAATGATCAAGAACTGCTAAGCGGGTTACCGGATCAAAACATCAATCAAAAACTCCACCTCGGCGAATCATCCACAATCAAAACACTCGGGATCGTTTGGGATTCAGCGGAGGACTCCATCACTTACACCGTCAAGCCTCTTACGCATGCATCTCGAGTCACTAAACGGTC